GATGCTTCAGAGCAGCCTTCCCGCCACCTCAACAGAGGGACAGGGCACGCTGCTCTCTCCTGCCAGGGCTGGCTGCAGGGCTGTGAAGCCAGGGTATGCACCCTGCTCATTTTCCACATGCCTAGTGGGAATGCCTGCCGGCAGATGGGAATGGCGGGTGGTCGTGGGTCATGCTCGACATCAGGGGTTTAATTGTAATGACACATGTATGTTATGGATGGACGGCAACAACTCAGTAATGGTCAATGGGACTGAGTTTGGAGGAAATTGGGCACAAAATTGGTGTAATCAAGGTAAACTCAAGGATGTGGGGTGCAGCAGGGGCGTTGAGATGGGGAAGGAACCAAATCTCAGATCGATCTGGCTTAATGGGACATCAGAAACCCTCACAGAACCAGCAGAGCAAGATTTACTGGGCCTCATCCAAATGGATTGGTGCATAATGTTTAAGAATACTGGATTGATTGATACGAGCCCCAAAGAATACCCTGATATGTCATGATAAGGTTATACTTGCAACAAAACAAAAAAGGGGGAGATGTCGAGGAAAGGGTTAAACTGCGAAGCAGTGGACGGGCAAGATGGAGGAGCCGTACAGCCACTTGTTGGCCACCAGGAAGACCCCTGGAGGACCACAAATGGCAAGAGGCAACGGTGCCTTCTGGTGATTGGACTATTGCGAGTATGGGGCGTGGTCTGGTCAGGTGTGACAGGATAAAAGGGAAGAGTTACAGCATTAAAGCAGCTATTTGTTCACCCCTGCAAATAATCCCCTGCAACTCCTAGGAACAACAACCGATGCCACACCCCAGCCCCTTTTAAATCCCCATGGGGTACCCTAGGGGACCCATGGGAGCTGCCCCTGACTCCTCATGACCCCCATGTTGCACCCTTGGAATACCCTTGAGACCCCCCTGACGACAGCCTGGGGCACCCTTGGGTCCCTCAGATCCCTCAGAACCCCCTCTCGCACTATGGGGCATCTTTGGAAGTTCCCAGCACCATTTCCCACCCCCTGTCTGCATCCCATGGCAGAACCCTTGCAAACTTTGGACCCCCCAGGGCTCTGGGATCTGGCCCTAAATCCCATTGATCCATCCCATTGGTACCTCCTCCCACCAGCTCTGCCCTGCAAAAACCATGTGAACCCCCAGAGCTGCTGCCACCCCCAAAAGCCAAAAGGACCCTTTGGCTCCTCCCCACAGGTCTCTTTGGACCACCCAGATCTCTTGGTGTCCCCCCCCCCCGGTGGAAGGAGCCCTTCGGTCCCTGTCTCCCCCACCCATAGGACCCCCTTGAGTCTCACCTGGAGTTCGACAGCGATGGCATCAGAGCCCTTGGCCACCTCGTGCATCATCCCCATCTTCTTCAGGGAGACTCTGAAGAGCCTGGGGACCATGGGAGGGGGTCAATGGATGGAGGGGCCTGAATGCCTGGGCCCATTCCTGTGCCCCGGCAGGAGAGAGGGGGACGGCAGGGGTGGGTGCATGAGCACAGGGGTGTCTTGCCAGGGGTGTCATGAGCACATGCATGAGCAGCAGTGTATCCCACACACGGGTGACATGAGGGTGACCACAAGCACCCACATGTCCCACACACGGGTGACGTGACCACATCCATGAGAACTCATGTCTGGCACATGCAGGATTTCACCGTGCGGTCCCCAAGGGAACTGGGGAAGGGGCACCTGGGGTGTCCGGCACCCAGAGCAGGGGAGACCCGGCCCACAAGGGCTGGCGCTGCTGCTGCCACAGGGGCCCTGCAGCACCCAGGGGGCCCAGGGGGGCCGGCACCCAGGGCAGGCTCCCGCTGCCGCCCACCTCGGCCCGCAGACGCCCGAGCGCCGCTTCCCCAGCGCCGGCCGCACTCGGCTCCCTGCGCGCCGGGCGCCGCCGCTCCCGGGGGACGGCGACGGCGCCGGGGCCGGGCCGGGCCGGGCGGCTGCAGCTGCGGG